CAGCGGAGCCAAGGAGGGGGGTGTCTGAACAAGGTTTAATCATTGATTGACGTAGGGAAACTGATAGGGATGTCCCGGGTCTCTCGTGACAATCTTCCAAACATTCCTCACTAAACCCCTGTCAAAAGAACCCTCTGGAGACCAGTTTACATCAAAAGACAGCCACTCAACTTCACACAATGTTCTTAGTCTGCCTGGAGAAAACTTTATGCCATAGTCAGCTCCTTCTACAAACCCTTCTTTGAAATGTCACAGGAGACAACTCAAGGGTGTCTTTTGTGGCTTCCCCTCATCGCTTGCACATAAAACACAAAACAGACACTCAGACAAGAACAATTACTGAGGTGTAGGTGGACCCAGAGAAGTCCACCACCTACAACCTAGACAAGACCAAAGACAATAGACAGAACCCGATAACAGGGCACAAGAGGCGGTGTCCCATGGCCTGGCCATGGTCCGGGAGACATGACTGTGTCCGCTCTCTCCATGGACCCCCAGTGACCGGTCAACAGAAACAGAAAGGTACCTTTAATCCAGATGTCGAGGCCTCGGAGATTCCAGTCAGGATCAGGAACAAAGAGTGTGTCCTAAAGGTTGCGTCCTTGATGATTGCATTGACCCCGGCATTCAAGGGCCCTGGAACGTCTCAGGGTGGCCACCCCTTTGAATCTGTAACAGGGACAGCAACCACTTTGGAGGCCACTCCTCGAGATCTCACTGGGGGCCTCCAAATGTGGCCGCCAGCCCCCGATAGACACACGGACCACCAGAAACCAGTGAGTTATAGGAAGCATACTCTTTACTCAGCCAGCTGGGTCTGCCAGGGATACGCAGACCCCAAATTAAGCAGCCCTGAAATGTAGAGGTACAGGGTTTTTTAGCCCTAAATCCCATTCCTCATTCTGTCTTAACACAAAAGTCTATTTTTCTTCTATTTACTGTCAACCCACAGGTAGGTTGTGCAAGTGGGGGTACAGAAGCAGAAAGCTTATTGTTAGAATGTTATGTTCCCATGGGTGATAGCCAAACAGTAATTTTTCAGCCAGCACAACAGCTGGTCCTATTCCATTCAGTGCACAGCTACTATAATATAACCAGGACTGGCATGCGATGATTTGAGTGAATAGATCCAAGAGCCATTTCAGGATGAGGAGAATTAAGGGGCTAGATTGTGGCGGGGAGAGGGGTAGGCAGATGGCTAGGCCAATTCGGTTGGAAGGCAAAGGGTATTAGAAGGTGAGATGACTTGGAGCCTTAGGATGAGTATTTCAGGTCAGCACTTTAGACTTCCTTTACTTTTTGTAGTTAAGAGAAATAGGGAAGTTAGTTGGTTTGGATAAAATATGGGTTGTCTAAAGAAGGGTTGACAGGCTAAGAAAAGTTGTCCAGGAGGGAACTGTCATTGGCGTCTGGAAATGAGAAGGGATTTACGGTTGGAAAAACTGCAGGGCTAGTTAGTTTCCACACACAGCTTATTCTTTACTGTTCCCTCTCCATTCTAAGCCCTTTCTTTTACCCACACCACACAATGGAGGAATCATTAGCGCTTCTCCTTTTTCCTAGGCCTGGGGGTAGGGCAGATCCTTCTTGAGCCCGCTACCTACCAAACTCCCGCCCTTCCTCCCTCCCCGAGGCGCCGCGGGAATTCCAAGATTTAGGCGGTCCTTCCATTAGGCGATCTAAGGAGCGGAGATAGGATATGGCGGCCGCCAATCAGACCACTCGGATACCCGGATGTGAAGCTGTGAGCGATACAAAGGCGAGTTTCTACCCAGAGCTTCGTCAGGTACAGTGGCCAATAAGCGTTTCTCAGGGGATAAGTGACAGGAAAAGTAACCAGTTACAAACTAGTTTTTCCCACGCATGTGGAAATTCTTTTGCTTAGTCTAACCCACTACTGATTATGATTGCAAAAATTTG